AGCCTGGGCAAAAGAGTGAGACCCTGTCCCCTGCAAAAGAATTTAAAACAAAACAAAGAAACATTCAGAATATTAAATTCATAGGGACAGAAAGTAGATGAGTGGTTTCCAGGGGCTGGAGGGGCCACAGGGAGCAGGGAAGCCGGAGCAGAACTTATTGCTTAATGGGTAAAGAGTTAAGAGTGATGAAATTTTTTGCAAAGAGATAGTGGCCCTAGTCTCACAACATTGCAAATGTGATAAACAGCACTCAATTGTACACTGGACAGTGGTTAAAATGGCGAATCTTATGTTGTCTATATTTTACCACAATGAAAAATTAAATAATTGGAGACATATACATAAATCCAAGTAAAACCTAAAACCAGATACTTCAGTTGAAGAGTCCTAACAGCTATACATGAGAAATTACATAAAGTTAGAAAAGAGAATAAGGGCTGTCTCAGAGCTAACCCTATTCAAACTGTCCAGAAGGAAATCTTTCTAGGCCAGGCTCAGTGGCTCATGCCTGTACTGCCTGCACTTTGGGAGGGCAAGGTGGGAGGACTGCTTGAGAACAGGAGTTCAAGACCATCCTGGGCAACATAGCAAGATCCTGTCTCTACAAAAAATTTTAGTATTAGCTGAGTGTGGTGAGGGGGCAAGTGCATCTAGTCCCAGCTACTTGGGAGGCTGAGGTGGGAGAATTGCTTGAGCCTGGGAGGCTGAGGCTGCAGTGAGTCGTGATGGTGCCACTGCACTCTGGCCTAGGTGACAAAGCAAGCCCCGCCTCGAGGGAAGGGAAGAAAGGTAGAAGGGAAGGAGGAAGGGAAGGAAAGGGAGGGAAGGAAGGAAGGAAAGAAAGAACGGAAGGAGGGAGGGAAAGAAAGCAATACTTCTCATCTTGCCTTGGCTTTCCCTATGGCAATTTCTTTGCAGCACATATTTATGGCTGTTTTAAGATCTCATCTCTTATGTTTTGGGCAAAAGTGCCAGGCTTCTTGGCAGAGTTTCCCTCTGTGCCAGCACACCTGACATGAAATGAGTTTCTAAAGGAAAGCTTATTCCTGGGCATGCTTCTGCCTTGAGGAAGAGTTTTAACATGATGTCCCATTCTCTGCCCTCTCCTGTCCCACTGTCTGCCCACCATCAGAAGTTTGACTTCAAGGCTGGGTGCAGTGGTTCACACTTGTCATCCCCGTCATCCCAGCATTTTGGGAGGCTGAAGCGGGCAGATCCCTTGAGGTCAGGAGTTCGAGACCAACCTGGCCAACATGGTAAAACCCTGTCTCTACTAAAAATTAAGAAATTAGTTAGGCAGGGTGGCGCATGCCTGTAATCCCAGCTACCTGGGAGGCTGAAGTACAAGAATCGCTTGAACCCAGGGGGCAGAGGTTACAGTGAGCTGAGATGGCACCACTGCACTCTGGCCTGGGTGACAGAGTGAGACTCTGGCTCAAAAAAAAAAAAAAAAAAAAAAAAATCAGAAAGAAGGAGGAGGAGGAGGAGGAGGAGGACACAGCCGAGGAGGAGGAGGAAGAAGGAAGAAGGGGAAGAGGAGGGGGAAGAAGTACTAGCAGCAGTAGCAGTAGCAGTAGTAGTAGTTCGGCTTCAGCTATTATATACGAAGACCTCTCAGCTTTCATTGGTTTAGGAAATGTGCGGGAATGCCATAAGAGAGCCTGCAAGATGGAGGAAGATCCTCTGAGCTCCCAAACCATGAAAAACCCAGACACCACCCATCCTCCAGCACCGACTTGGTGTCATAGGAGCAAAAGCTACTTTCTGGAATGGTTATGGGAGCCCAATTCAGGGCAGGCGGCCGGCACAGGCAGGCAGGCAGTAAAGAGTTTCCAGGTCCCCGGGGGACTGTAATCACATTCCCCAACCAGGTGCTGGGAGGAGGGTTAGTGGCTTCCAACCTTCTTGGCCCGGGGCCAGCATCTCCAGGCCCCTCTCCACCCTTGGCTCAATCACATCTTCTTTCCAACCAGAAGCTTGTTAACTGTTTTCCTGTGCTTTTATTCAGATTTCAAGGCACCCTCTGTGTGTTAAACTTCAAAGAAAGTTTGCTACAGTAAGTGCAATGTTGTAACAAGTGGAGGCTCTTAGCAGCACTGTTGAAAATGGTTTATTAAAATGAAGGGGCCGGGATTCTTTTCCCCTTCCACCCGCCACCTTCTTTCAAATGAAATTGCATTTGGGTCTGAATTAAGTTGCCCGGTATCAATCCTGAAATTTTTAAAGATGAAAAGCAGAACCACCAACGCACTATTTAAAATGTAAAATGATTACCAAATGGCACTGGGCCAATGTTTATGAATCACTGAATATGATCATAAAATCATAAAAAATAATCACCAAAAGGTAAATAAATTACCCAGCTTACTGCTTATTTTCACGTAGGGTCTGACACAAAAGCTGCAGCCATTAATGATTTATACCTGTTTTAACAATAATACTCATTTTACTGAAAGATGGTCAGCACTCGGGCGGCTGTGGGCAACATGCCAGTTGTCGAAAGGTTAATGTTTCAGCAGCAATACATTAAATTATGAATAACACCGGTCCCAAAATGGAAGGTTATTAGCTCAGTATGCTTAATTAGCCCAGCTAGAACTTTGCCATCAAGTAGCAGTGCCCATTACTTCAGCAGTAGCTGAGATGGGGGACGGCAGTGTGGGATTCTAATGCCAAGGCAGGGACGCGGGGAGGCAGAATGGGTGTGGGATGTCTTTCATTTTCTTTTCATCCACTGTAATATTAAGAGAAGCATCTCCAAGCCGGGAACAGTGGTTCACACCTGTAGTCCCAGCACTTTGGGAGGCCAAGGCAGGTGGATCACGAGGTCAAGAGATCAAGACCATCCTGACCCACATAGTGAAAACCTGTCTTTACTAAAAATACAAAAATTAGCCAGTCATGGCAGTGTGTGCCTGTAGTCCCAGCTACTCCAGAGGCTGATGCAGGAGAATTGCTTGAACCTGGGAGGTGGAGGTTGCAGTGAGCCACACTGCACTCCAGCTTGGAGACAGAGTGAGACTCTGTCTCAAAAAAAAAAAAAAGGGAAGCATCTCAGAGCCAGGCGCGGTGGTTCACACCTGTAGTCCCAGCACTTTGGGAGGCCAAAGTGGGAGATCACTTGATCTTAGGAGTTTGAGACCAGCCTAGGCAACATAACAACACCCCTGTCTCTGTTTAAAAGAAAACAAAAAGTGAAAAAAGAGAGAAGCATCTCAGAAGTTGGTTTTCAGGATTTTGAACTCTCCCATGGTTTATCCATGAAGACTTCACAGAAGGGGCCGGGCATGGTGGCTCATGCCTGCAATCCCAGCACTTTAGGAGGTGGAGGCAGGAAGACCACCTGAGGTCAGGAGTTTGACACCAGCCTGGCCAACACGGGGAAAACCCCTTCTCTACTAAAAATACGAAAATTAGCAGGGTATGATGGTATATACCTTGTAGTCCCAGCTACTCGGGAAGCTGAGGCAAGAGAATCACTTGAACCCAGGAGGTGGGGGTTGCAGTGGTCCAAGTCTGTGCCTCTGCACTCCAGCCTGGGCAAAAGAGCTAGACTCAGGAAAAAAAAAAAAAAGAAAGAAAAATAAAGATTTCACAGGAGGAAAGAGCAGAAATTATTTGGGAGAAGCTTCGTCCTTTGTCCTGGTAGTGTGAACCCACCGTGATCTGGTTCTACATGTGTTTGTTGCTGCTACACCTGAGCCCCACCGAAGTGCATAAGGTACCATCCACTTTGGCACCCACCATTGCCTATGAACACTCATCCAACACAGGCCTGGATTGGCCAGCTACTATGTACCCAGCACTTACAAAGTCGGGAATAAGACAAACCTGTTTTTAATCTAAAAGAGGGAAAAGACAATGATGTTAAACCATCAACTATGCAATTATTGCATTAACCACAGTCACATGGCTGTGATGAAGAGAAGGTTTAGAGGACCAACCCCTGGACTGGAGTCAGGGTAGAGCTTCTTAGGGAAGACCTCTAACTGTTCAGATCTCTAAAATCTGTGAGTAGGAATTAGTTGCATGAATTTCCAGGAAAGAACCTTCCAAGAAGAAAATACCTAAACTATGCCTATGTTTCCAAAAATGAATGCTGCTGGGGAAAGATCAGGCATTATTTAAAAGCTATATTGGAGGAGGATTTGCCTACTTGGGCTATAAGAAAGCTATTGAGGGCTGGGCACGGTGGCTCAAGCCTGTAGTCCCAGCACTTTGGGAGGCCGAGGTGGGTGGATCACGAGGTCAAGAGATTGAGACCATCCTGGTCAACATGGTGAAACCCCGTCTCTACTAAAAATACAAAAAAAAAAATTAGCTGGGCATGGTGGTGCGTGCCTGTAATCCCAGCTGCTCAGGAAGCTTAGGCAGGAGAATTGCCTGATCCCAGCAGGCGGAGGTTGCCGTGAGCCAAGATTGCACCATTGCACTCCAGCCTGGGTAACAAGAGCAAAACTCCGTCTCAAAAAAAAAAAAAGAAAGCTATTGAGCGCCTAGCTTGTGTGTGCGTATGTGTGGGGGATAGGGTGGAAGGAGTCCACACTCAACCCCACAACCTTCCTTCACCCCACCCTGCCTTTGCCCTGCCAGTTACTCCAGTGCTAAACTCAAAGTTTTCAGCCAAAGACTGGGCGGGGACTCGCCCATGCCATGCTGGTTCCATCCCTGCTAGACCTGAGCCGTCTGCACCACCGCCCAGCTCTACTTAGTACTATTAGTAGCTTGTTTTTCTAAGCCCTAAAATTCATTTTCTTTTCCCGCCTCGCTTCCAGAAAAATAAATAAAAGTGAACATATCACTCATTTAAGACGAGGAATGGAATTTAGGTTGCGTTTTTCTTTCTATTTTTATGATTAGTTAGAATTTTCCTGGGAACGCCGCCAGAAGGGCATTATGGTGAGATAATGTCCTGTATTTAATCAGCGCTGTAATGGCGAACTGTATTCTGTGGGGAGAGGCCGAGTTCACTCATCCTTCTCTGTCTTGTCTGTTTGCAGGAGACGGCCGGTTAGCCCAAGATGAAGACAAGACCGACAAGTGGCGGGGCTCCAGGCTGGTGTAATAGCCCGAGAGTGGACAGGGTGCAGCCGTGACTCCATCTCTTCCTACAGGACCTGGAAGCTCTGAAATCCCTGGAACCCCCAAAGGAGCTGAACGAAAGGGGCTCCCAAACGGACCAAAGTGATCAGCTGTGGTTCTGCATCCGCCGGACTCTTTCAGGGTCGTCCCCTGCGGCCTGACACAGACGTCTGTTGGCCTGGGCGCACTTCCGGCTTTCAATATGCATCTTTTCCTTTTGCAACCCAAATACAATGTGCACGGGGTGGCACGCGGCCTTTAAGTGAACCTGGAAGTCAACGCCAGGTAGGACCGGATCATCTCCTAACCTCTCTGCATGCGCCTGGTCGCCCAGAGTTCCGCGAAAACCTCTGCTGGAGGCGAGGGCTGGTGGTTTGCAGCTGTCGGGGTCGTTCTTGTTTTCAGAGTTCTTTGGTCCATTGCTGAAGAATGAAGGGATCTCTGGGAGGGGTCAAATAGCAAAGGTTATGTTAGAGAGATGTCTAAAAGGACGGAAGAAAGCAAGGGCCTGAAGAAAAAGGAGAAGGGATTTCACCTCCAGGAAGGGCACACAGAGAATAACCGGAGGGATGCAGGTTGGCCTCTCTCTGCAATTAGCATGGGTGGCCAGGAAAACACGAGCACGTGGGGCACACACAGCCTTTCAGATTTACTGTTGTCCCTATTAAACTGGGGGTCTGCGGGAGCCGTCTGTTCAGGTAAGGGCAGTGGAAAGAACAGGATGCCCCAAGCAACCCATAAATAGCAGGGTGAAGACAAAGTGTTTATTACTTAGCCTCATGAAGCCCATATAAGTGCTCTCCCAGGGCGCGAGAGAGCAAGAGCATGTGTAAGCCAGCCCACGTGTGTGTCCTGGGAGTGGGGGCCCCAAACACGGTGTTCGCGCTCTGCTTGATTCTATGAAGGCGTCTATTTGATGGAACGTACTGTAACAGTTCATAGGCAACCCAGCAAATCTGGTGTGGAGACAGAGCTTGCTTTTTCTCTTTCCTTTTCCTGTTTGCAGTGAGAATGAGGCCTTTCTCTTCTCGGCCCTTTGCTCTCCCCACAGTTGTCTCACGAGGTCACTGCCAGCTGACAGGCTTCCTTTCAGTGCAAATTTTGGATGGAAACAATACTCTGTGTTCTGGGGGGCTGGTGAGGCTCTGGGCCTCACCAAGCTCTCTTAAACTTAAATGGGCTATTGTTTTAGTAGGGCTGATGGTTTCTTCAGACAACTGGGTCTATGTGACACAAGACTTTATCCTTTTATGTGTGTGCATGTGTGAATATATACATAGTATCTTCATACCTTCAACACAACACACAGTGGTAGAAAGGTGGCTTATGCTCATGATGTTTACTTCCACATCAGGTTCAGCCACGCACTAGCTGTGTGCTCCTTGGGCAAGTTACTAAGTGACTTACCCTTTTTAGCTGGGTGATAGTGTTCTTAATTCAGAGTAGCCTGTCTATAAGAAATCTTAGAGTTCAAACATTCGTTGACTCTGTGATTGCAAGACATGACATGACTGTGTTCAACAATGAACTTAAAAGCACTTTCTTTGAATAGCTGATATATCGATAGAACCGATTTCTAAGAGCAGTTAAGGATGTGCTGAATGTTCTATTGAATATCCTGAATACCGAATGTACTGGTTTGCTAAGGTGAGTAGAAAGTGGAAGAGATCTATGTTGTCACATTCTAGCATCTTGAAATACCCTTATGGGTATCCTCAGGGTTCTCACCTATAATGATGCTTGTGGCCATTGGATAGTATTGTGAAAATTCAGTGGCATTGTCAAATTCACAAAGTATTTTGTGAATTTCTGAATGAAGACTCAGCTCGACGAACTAGCAGTTAGCCAAAACTAAGGTTAACTATGTGAGGTCATTATTAATAAAGATCAAAACCATAATATCAAATATCAGGGGCTTCAGAGGAAGCTGACAGGATAAAGACAGGATTGAGCAAGGCTCAGCTTCTAGGATGCTAGGAACCATCTGACATAGCCAACCTCAGGCTGCTGCTGGCCAGCTCTACAGAAATGTTGCCAGCACAGGACTGCATGCTGGCCTTCGAGGAAGGTAAGTCCCTGGTTGATCCAAGAAAGAGGGATTCCGCCAATAAGCACAGTGGGAATCACAGCCCTGCAGCCGCTGAAAGCAATGGCCAACTCCTCTGTAGATCTCCATGAGGTTGTCTCTCCTACGCTCACTGGCCAATGCCCCTTTTGGAAAAGCCTAACACTGCTGACTGCCTGATTAGTGGTCTTTACTGCTTCTTTTTTTTTTTTTTTTTTTTTCACGAGAGGATCTCACTGTGTCTCCCAGGCTGGAGTACAGTGGTACAATCATGGTTCACTGCAGCCTTGACATCTTGGGTTCTAGTGATTCTCCCACCTCAGCCTCCTCAGTAACTAGGACTACTGGCTGCTTGTCTGTTTTTTTGTAGAGGTCAGGTTTCACCATGTTGCCCAGGCTGGTCTCCAACTCCTGGGATCAAGCAATCTGTCTGCCTTGGCCTCACACAATGCTAGGATTACAGGCATGAGCCACTGCACCCTGTCCTTTACTGCTTCTTTCACATCCAGCCCAGTTTGCCTCCCTTTCTTCCTTCCACAGACATTTACTCAGCAAATGCTATGTGATAGGTGCTGTGATAAGCATATCACATGTATACACTTGAAAAAATGGGGCCAGGCGTGGTGGCTAACGCCTGTAATACCAGCACTTTGGGAGGCCGAGGCGGGTGGATCACGAGGTCAAGAGATCGAGACCATCCTGGTCAACATGGTGAAACCCCATCTCTACTAAAAATACAAAAATTAGCTGGGCATGGTGGCACACACCTGTAGTCCCAGCTACTTGGGAGGCTAAGGCAGGAGAATTGCTTGAACCCAGGAGGTAGAGGTTTCGGTGAGCCGAGATCGTGCCATTGCACTCCAGCCTGGGTAACAAGAGCGAAACAAACAAACAAAAAAATAGTCCGTGATCTCAGAGTAGTTTTGCTTTATGAAAAAGATAATCGGCCAGTCACTGTGGCTCACACCTGTAATCCCAGCACTTTGGGAGGCCGAGGCAGGCAGATCATGAAATCGAGAGATCGAGACCATCCTGGCCAACATGATGAAACCCCGTCTCTACTAAAAATACAAAAATTAGCTGGGCGTGGTGGCACGCACCTGTAGTCCCAGCTACTTGGGAAGCTGAGGCAGGAGAATCACTTGAACCCAGAAGATGGAGGTTGCAGTGAGCCAAGATTGCACCACTGTACTCCAGCCTGGCGCCTGGTGACAGAGTTACACTCTGTCTCAAAAAAAAAAAGAAAAAGATAATCAAGTAGACAATGACAAATGTAGTTTAATTTATTTACTTAATTTGAGACAGGGTCTCTATCACCCAGGTTGGAGTGCAGTGGCACCATCTCAGCCCACTGCAACCTCTGCCTTCCGGGCTCAAGCCATCCTCCCATCTCAGCCTCCTGAGTAGCTAGGACCACAGGAGCATACCACCACCCCCAGCTAATTTTTGAATTTTTGGTAGAGACGAAGTTTCCCCGTGTTGCCCAGGCTGGTCTCAAACTCCTGAGCTCAAGGGATCTGCCTGCCTTGGCCTCCTGAAATGCTGGAATTACAGGCATGAGCCACAGGCCCAGCTTCACACATATAGTTTAAATATAGTCATTACAGTGAACTTGGATAGCACGCATTAGGAAAAAAAAGTGACTCAGCCTGGAGGGGTTGATATTGATGGGGATAAGGCATTCTCTGCAGAGGACACACAGGCTATTTGGGAATCACAGGTAGATATTTTGTGCATTGTATATAGGATCTGGGAAGGAATCAAGACTGGAGATGAGGTTGGGGACCACTGGCCTTAAAGCGAGCACAGCTTGGGTTCAGGAATATTCCTTTATCCTTATATCCTGTAGATAGTTCCCCAGCCTTGGACACTGATAGGGGAATCTTCAAATATTTCTAGTCATTAACAAAAGGCTCGATGATCATTAGTAAAGCCTGCAGGTCAGCTTCCCAGGGCAACATGATACCTTACACTCTGTGTCTGCAAGAATGAAAGCCTCACCTGGTACATTCATCCTATCTAGGGACAAATCTGGAATCACAGGATTCCTGTTGTCAGAGACCTGCCCTGATTCATGCCAGTCAGTGCTGGGTCAATGGATAGTATGGTCACTGCATCCATGACTTCATCACACTGGCATCCCTGATGTAGCTTGCATTAGACCCTTGTTCAGTGACATAGTTGGCTTCATGGTGGCTCAGCTCTCTGCAGTTTGATTTTTCCTTGGTAAAAATATACGCCTGGAGTAAGGAAATGCAAAGACCCCATCTAAAGGTGTAACATTAGGCCGAGCAAGGTGACTCACGCCTGTTATCCCAGCACTTTGGGAGGCAGAGGTGGGTGGATCACCTGAGGTCAAGAGTTCGAGACCAGCCTGGCCAACATGGTGAAACCCGATCTCTACTAAAATTACAGAAAAATTAGTCAGGTATGGTGGTGGGCAGCTGTAATCCCAGCTACTTGGGAGTCTGAGGCCAGAGAATTACTTGAACCCAGGAAGCAGAGGTTGCAGTGAGCCAAGATCATGCTACTGCACTCCAGCCTAGGTGACAAGAGCAAGACTCAGCAAACAAACAAACAAATAAATAAAATGAAGGTGTAATATTACTTTTGCCTTTGGAAGTGGGTGTCTGTCTGTGCCAGCTACTGAGATCTTCACCCAGGCCTATGTTAAGTTCAAATGCAGAGGTGCTATCCAATCCTAAGGCCTCCAATGAGCTGTGCCTTTCTGCCTCATGCTTTCTCTGGCTGCCACCTACCCCAACCCCCACCATGTATAGCAAACAGTCTGATTCCCTTTCAGGATTTATGTAGGGTCAAGACTCTCCAGTGAGTAGTGGGCATGGCCAGCACGATGAGGTTAGAAGACCAGCCTTCCTGTGATAAGATGAATTCTTGTCAGTGGTCTGCCTTCTGATACTAGTGTCTCAATCTCCCAGATTTCCTGCCTTGAACTTCAGGAAGTATCTGAGAATGACATAACTCTCATTTAGTTACCTGGATCCAGGCCCCCACTATCTACTCTGTCCTGCCTTACCTGCCTGGTCCCCAGAAACTTGCCTGAGTATGAAAGTAGCTGGGATTACAAGCGCCCACCACCATGCCTGGCTAATCCTCATTCTGCCACTCTCATTCATCCTTTGTTCTCTCCATACCTGGATTCGACATTCAGATAGAATTCATTTAGGTGGTTTCTTACACTGTAGGCTTCATGTAATCA